TTAATCCTGAAGGATAAAGAGTAGAAAATTCCAACAGGAAACTGGTTATGAACATAAGTTGCCAATATAAGGTTATGTATGATGGAATAATTTCTGAAGATAACACACTGTACAAAGACATGAAATAAAAAAGGACGTCTCATAAACCTCTGCTTTTGTTCTAAGTTGTTAGCAATCCCTATAGCTCAATGTCATTTAATTAAAAGATTTAAAATTATATCAAAGGGAAAAAAATTTTTTTTGGTTTCGGCTAGTCATTTTAGGATTTTCCTTTAAATTATGCCTTCAATTCGACTGACAAGAAGTTCATGTACTAGAACAGAAAATTAAGTTATTCTGCATCTGTCTTTTAGAATCAAATTATCTACTTGATAATTTGAATACTGCTAGGGCAAATTGGCCCTAGATCTCTGTTGTGTTCCTCATTTCCATGCATGGACAGAAAAAAAGGTATTGTTTTTCCTCCGCACTGTGATGCAGTAGCAGCCTGCCATCAACACAGATGGAATCCTTCTTGGACTGAGGAGTCTCTGGGCTTGAGGTCTCCTAACAGTCTAGTTATCCCAAAACTTCTTATCTGATCTTTCTTCCATGTCTTTGCATCCTTTCCTTCCCTATCCCTCTCTCCCAAATAAAAATCAGCCTTACTTTACTTTGATTTTAAAACTACAAGTTATGTAAGATGCTTTGATGTGAAGAAAAGGCTCAAATAAAACCATTCAAACCATGGCAGTTGATCCTACTCCAAAAAAAGACTTTTAAAAATCACTCTGCAGAGCCATATAGAACTGGGTGCCAGGTTTGTACCTAGCAATAATCACGGGTTCTGATGAAATACAAAAAAGGAAGTCTTTTCATGTAAAATGCTTAGAAGTAAATATTTTAAGTGTTTTATACTTTTTCTGAACCCAGTAAGACAGGTTTATAAGTCTGGATTATTTGGTGTTACTCCTCTTTTAATTAGTAGTATACCCAGTTATTTTAGCAGGAAATCAATATTTATAATAATAATACCTTCCATTTCACTTAACAGGGTAAATCTTATTATCCTCATTTTGTAAATAACAATTCCCCATGTAAAGGGTTAAAGGTCACTCAACTCTGTTTACCGACTGCAAACTTGAATGAGAAAGACAAGTGTCCAGGTATACACTTACATAATTTATTATTCATGCCCAAGATCAGTGTCCAAGTATGGGGTGGTCAGCAGTCAGGATATTTAGACTGGCTTACCAGACTGAATTTTTGTTTTATTAACATTTATTTATTCGGTGATAATACCTAATTCTTTGTATAGCCCTTATTCACTCTGGTAGAGTTTGACATGGCAAGAGGGCCTAGGTTTTACATCGGTACTTCTTAAACTATCTGTGGGGAAGGGTCAGTTTCTCCCTAATCAGTCTTGAGTTAAATAAAATAGAAATAAGTTATTTAAAAAATCATGGCTTTAGATGTTGCAGCAGTATCAAATTGTCCTAAAGGATTCCAAATGGTTAATCTCAATTATTTGCAGGCTGCTTTACAAAAGCGGGTGCAGGGGGCTTCAGACCGGCACGGGTCCTTGCTGAATAGCATATGACCACTCATGGAAATTCTGGCCTTACCTGAGAAGTCTTAAGCCACTGTTGGAGCACCATTGCACCAGACCATGCTTATTTCTGTCACAAACAGAAAAAAAGAACTGGGGCTTCCTTCTTTTCCCTTTGATGATTTCTATCTCCCTTCAACCACTTTATCCAAGGATACACTAACACTGGTAGCCACTCCTCATAGCTCTTGCAGACCCATCATGCTGCTAAGAAACTCAACTTTGCTTCTTGCTGCAAACCTCTCAGCAACATGATAGCATTAGCTAATCTTGGTCAACTATGAATGATAGCTTCTTTGGAAAGAACTTCAGCGGCATGTCATCTAGCCTGGATTCAGGCAGTGCCCTCTCAGGGGGACTCCCGTTTGAGTGTTTAATGTAGATATTTGTCCTGTTCCCAAGCACATTTATTTACAATGATGTCGTGTGGACCTTTGTGTCAGTATAGATTGCTTGCTTCTCTTACCTCTGTAAATGAAGCGTCTCTTTTATCACTCAGGCTACCAACAAAGTTCTGCATCTTGCTTACCTGGACCTCTGCCACCAGAAGTAAATAGTTTAGCAGAGACAGCGACTCTGGACTAGAAGAGACACTGAAAGGCAGCAGTTTCAGCAATAGCAGCAGGCATCCTGGCAGGCCAGGAGAACAGAGAGACCATATGGGTGCATGCTGGGTGAGGGGAGACAGGAGGGGGACAACAGGAGATGCCTCAGGTGGGTTTGATCAGTTGCTATGGTTTCTAAGGCCAGTGTTAATACCAGCGGCTGGCAGCTGTATAAGTACGTTATCGACATGCAGATTTGAGTGCAGGCTTCCTGGGAAGAACCTGAGGAAGAAATGACTGTACGCTGCTCAGGGTGGGTTTCAGCCTGAGAAACAACCCATCGTGAAAGGCTCCGATAAAAGAACAGTCAAGGGAGTGGATTTGATGGGAAAGGACAAACAGTGTAGAAGAGGGCATTACTGTGCTCTGGAGACCAGCGCTGTTCAGGAGAAGCTCTACACCTTCTCATCACAAACTCAGTGCGCTCCCCTGGGAAGTGGCGTCACGGAGCAACAGTCACTGTGCTCAGGGAACTGGGAGTCAGAATTTCTGGGTGCAAGTCCTGGGCCCCAAGTCAGCATCTTGGCAACCTTAACAAGCCATCTCACCTTTCTTCACTTCTGGTTTCTCATCCGTTAAACATTCACTGAGCTCTGGATATTGTGAGGTTCGAATGAGATAATCTATACAAAAATCACAATTTAAAATTCCTACAACACAAACCCTCTTCCTTCCTTACCCTTTTCCCCTGCCCCCAAGAAGACCAGTCTAAGGTAGACTAATTTCTACGAATGACACTTTTAAAAAAAATGTGTAATTCAGGACTCTGGGATCATCCAGATCACCATGTCCCCACATTATTATATTGACTGTTCTGAGAAGATAGCTGCATGAGAGCATTTGATCTGAAGGCTGGTTTTATCTACAGGATGACAGAGGGACATCTGTGTTTGAAAATTCCTAAGAATGGACACCCAGGGGCACATACCTACCCATGCACTTTATGTAAAATAATAGAATGCTAGGAGTCAGCCTTATAAGGAATAGCCTATAATTATCAGAGCTTCTTTTTTAAGTAACTTAAATAAATGACAAATTTCTCCTTATAATCAAACTGGTTATCATGATTCAAACCATATGATTGTGGTCCAGAGAGAATTTTATATCGCAAGGCTGAGTAGAACTGCCTATGAAAGAAAATTTTCTATTGTAAAAGTAGTACAATTCCCTTTATCCTGCTTCCCCTAATCTAATATCTAACATAAGCATAGTAAAATTGTTGAAACGAAGAACTTAGGATTGATACCATACTATTAACTCATCTAGAGACTCTATTCAAGTTTTCTAGTTCTCCCACTAATGTCCTTTTTCTGGTCTCGGATTTCACATTGTATTTCTTTCTTTATCTTTAAAAAAGTCTTTCCAAACTTTACACTTGGAAGAGTACTAGCCACTGTTGTGTAGAGTGCTCTTTAATTTTGGTTCATCTGGTGTTTTCCCATGATTCAATTGAGGTTATAAATTTTTGACAAGAAAACCACAAAAGCAATGATGTGTCCTTCTCAGTGAATATAGCGGAAGGTACGTGATGACATGCATCACTGGTAATGTTAGTTTTGATCACTTAGTTAAGGTGGTGTCTGTTAGGTTTCTCCATTATAAACTAGGGATTTTTCTCTTTGCAATTAAGAAGTATCCTTTTGTTGTTGCTTTCTTAATTGATGGTTAAGGTGGGAGTAAATGTCATTCAGAAAAGGTTGCAAAGCGCCCCATCCTGGTGGAAAGAAGCTGTGCCCTAGAAAGTGATGGAGTCATTATTTAAGTGTTTGAGTAGATTTCTCTCAATCCATGCTGAAATGGATTGCCTGACATTACATTGCAGGATTTGTAAGTCCTACCTCCAGGCAAATCTCATAGTTACTAGCAAAAATGAAAGTGTGAAATGCTTTTTAATGTATATTTAACAACACATAGTCTGGTGATTACTGATGTGTATTCTCCGTGGACTCCCTTTGCTATCAGAGGAGGATGTTAAGAGACAACATTTTTACACATTTATTCTATCTAAATCCATCACAGGTTTACTTTCTAAATATCTGTAACTGTCATTTATAACAAGAGCATAAAAATCAAATACTTTAATTCTAACTCAAACTTTGAATCATAGGATTGCAATCAATTTTCTGGACAAGTACAGTTACTGTTTTTTCTTACTCTACCTTATGAAATTGCCCACTATTAAATGGCACTAGAATACAGCCATTTAAAAAAATAAAAATAGATATGGCTTAGTAATGGGGGTGTAGGAGGTAATGTCACTTTATTCATCTTTTTTATTTAGAAATTCACATAATAGCTCCTATTTAAAGGAATTTTCATCGTTGAATCCAGTGTCATGTCTGCGTGTGTTGAAGAAATAAAATTCACAAAATGTATTTGATTTCTTCCTACAGTGTCATTATTTAATAAGGATTAAGGTACCATATTTTTTGCTTTTTTACTGGGCTGCACAGCAAGAGTTCATGTCTTGTACTAATGTATGCTAAATATTTGCATAGTATAGAGACCATTATTGTTAAAATAGCAGTAGTGAAGGTGTTTTAGATCACAGAGCCCCAGTGGCCTACATTTTGTTTGTTTTGACATTGTTAAACTCAATCTGTTTCTCTAACTGTGACTCTAATGACTACATTTGCATGGCAGAAAAGTTTGCTTGGTGGGTTGACTTTTATTAACAGTGTCTGCATGTTGTTTTCTGCTCTTGGTGTTCCATGAGCAGACAGAGCACCTTCAGTTCCATTGAATAGTTATACACAATCAATAAGTTTCTGTGTTTGTCTTTGTTGTTTCTTTGATGTGGCCTCTAGGATGCTGCCGGCAAGGTGCTGGACCGCTGGGCCATCATGTCTCGAGAAGAGGAAATCATCACCCTTCAGCAGTTTCTGCGGTTTGGAGAAACCAAATCCATTGTAGAGCTGATGGCAATTCAGGAGAAAGAAGGGCAGGCTGTGGCCGTTCCGTCTTCAAAGACAGACTCAGACATTAGGACTTTCATTGAGAGCAATAATCGCACCAGGAGTCCCAGCCTCCTTGCTCACCTAGAGAACAGCAACCCTTCCAGCATTCATCACTTCGAAAACATCCCCAACAGCCTTGCATTTCTGCTTCCATTCCAGTACATAAACCCAGTCTCGGCCCCACTGCTAGGATTGCCTCCAAACGGGCTCCTGTTAGAGCAACCAGGACTGAGGCTGCGGGAACCCAGCCTTTCAACTCAGAATGAGTATAATGAGAGCAGCGAGTCTGAAGTATCTCCCACACCTTATAAGAACGATCAGACTCCCAATAGAAACGCCCTGACCAGCATTACTAACGTGGAGCCCAAAACCGAGCCAACCTGCGTGTCCCCCATTCAGAATTCTGCCCCGGTCAGTGACCTGACCAAAACGGAACACCCAAAAAGCTCATTCCGGATCCACCGGATGAGAAGGATGGGGTCAGCCTCTAGGAAAGGAAGGGTGTTCTGTAACGCATGTGGGAAGACATTCTATGATAAAGGTACTCTCAAAATTCATTATAATGCTGTTCACCTGAAGATCAAACATCGATGCACCATTGAAGGTTGCAACATGGTCTTTAGCTCCCTCCGAAGCCGCAATCGTCACAGTGCAAACCCTAACCCTCGCCTCCACATGCCTATGCTAAGGAATAACCGAGACAAAGATTTAATCCGGGCCACATCAGGAGCTGCCACCCCCGTCATAGCAAGTACAAAATCAAATCTCACACTCACCAGCCCCGGCCGGCCCCCGATGGGTTTTACCACTCCCCCACTCGACCCCGTCTTACAGAACCCTCTCCCCAGCCAGCTGGTGTTTTCCGGGCTAAAGACTGTCCAACCAGTTCCTCCATTTTATAGAAGTTTACTCACTCCGGGAGAAATGGTGAGCCCTCCCACGTCCCTCCCGACCAGTCCCCTCATTCCAACCAGTGGTACCATAGAGCAGCACCCCGTGCCACCCTCTGAGCCAGCAGCGCCAGTAGTGATGATGGCCACTCATGAGCCCAGTGCCGACCTGGCCCCCAAGAAGAAGCCCAGGAAGTCCAGCATGCCTGTGAAGATCGAGAAGGAAATCATCGATACCGCCGATGAGTTTGACGATGAAGACGATGACCCCAATGATCCCGGAGCTGTGGTCAATGACGTGAGCCATGACAATCATTGCCACTCCCAAGAGGAGATGAGTCCAGGCATGTCTGTGCAGGACTTTTCTAAGCACAGCAGGTCCCGGTGCATTTCAAGGACTGAAATAAGAAGGGCTGACAGCATGACTTCTGAGGACCAAGAACCTGAGCGGGACTATGAGAACGAGTCCGAGTCTTCAGAGCCCAAACTAGGTGAGGAATCCATGGAAGGGGATGAGCACATGCACAGCGAAGTGAGCGAAAAGGTCCTGATGAGCAGTGAGAGGCCCGACGAGAACCACAGTGAGCCCTCTCACCAGGACATCATCAAGGTGAAGGAAGAATTTGCAGATCCCACTTATGACATGTTTTACATGAGCCAGTACGGACTATACAATGGTGGGGGAGCCAGCATGGCGGCCCTGCACGAAAGTTTTGCCTCCTCTCTGAATTACGGCAGCCCTCAGAAGTTCTCCCCAGAAGGCGACCTGTGTTCCAGCCCAGACCCCAAAATCTGTTACGTGTGCAAGAAGAGTTTCAAAAGCTCCTACAGCGTGAAGCTCCACTACAGGAACGTTCACTTAAAAGAGATGCATGTCTGCACGGTGGCTGGCTGCAACGCTGCCTTCCCCTCTCGCCGGAGCAGAGACAGGTCAGTAAATCTCCATTGGCTGCTCCTGCTGGGGGGAGGGGGCCTGTCATTAAAAAATCCAACTTAGATGTTTTGATGCACTATAGAGATTGTCCACAGTGACCACACGATAACCAAGCTGCCATGCTCATGAAGGATTGTTGCAGTTGGTGCTTGTTATGATTAAGCATGCAGAATCATATGCCATCTTACCCAGTAATGCACGCCATTTTTCTCTGTGCTCTGTGTTATGTGTGTGTGTATGTTTTTCCATGCATCTAGGTGCGTGAATCAGTTAACTGTGTACACAGTTCCCTGCTTCCCCATGAACCTTCACTTAGAAGCCTCAGCTTCTGTTATAAATATTTCTGCTTTGCCTTGTGGCTTTTTAAATTAAATCAATATATTATCTTCATACACACATATTTATCCAATATAGAAACAGAAATTTACGGATGGAAAGAACCATAGGTCCAGGACATCGAGACAGCCTGCATCTCCGTAGGTATAACCAGAAATGTTATCATTCTTACATGAGTATTTAGTGTGTCCTTGAATTCTTTGAGTCACAAAAATATCAGAAGAAAATGGGACCAAAGTAATTGTTCATATGGGGAAATGGTGTGGTGATACGGGTTTCTTTATGTTAGCTTCACAATGTATTTGAGCACACCTCTAAAACACAGTCTATCATGGGAATTATGCACACAGAAGGAGAGGCATGCATATACTTTTAGGAGCAGTTAGAATATATTATGTCCAGCCTTCAGATGACATCACACCTTAGCTATGTAGCTGCAGCTCTGAAACAGTTGGGCTTAAACAGAAGCAGCTGGTCCTAAACCTACAATGTTCTTTTTCAGCCCTAAAGAAAATGTAATATAAATGGAATGTGTCAAGGTGGTCAGTGGTGGGGAACCGCAGTTACCCTGCCCTCGGGGAGATAAGCTTGTGAGCAGATCATTTACATAATACACCAGCCCAACCAGTGACACACCAGTTAATTCTCCCTATTATATTGGATGTGGGTTTTTTTGGTTTTACATTGTCTTTTAAAAATATTTTTAGAGAAAATTTTATTACATGCTAAAAGTCAATAGATGTGGAAGAAACAAAATTAACTAGGAAGTTTGCAAGTAGCCACCACCCAAATTCTAGTGCTTATCAATTAGGTAGAATTCTTTGACAATGTAACATTTAATGGAAGTACCACTGAAAAGTAGTGACCTGCTTCTGGAATACTCTGTTTTGTCTTCATATTTTAAAGATTAGTCTTTTTAAAAATAAAAGTTAAAATAGTTTTATTGTACTGAAGTATAGCTCAAGGGGTCCAATTCATGAAAAGCAAAATTTCTGAGAAAATGTGGCTTACTTTCTACAACTCAAAACATGCTTTGAAGAGAAATCTATCTTCTTAAAGCTTTCCCCTCCCTAGTCCCCTACCCCCCACTCCTTTTTACCTTGTTCTGTAAAAAATGGTTTATGATCACAAAATTCTTTTCAGTTCCAGGGTATCGTAGACAGTCCCAGAATATGGTAGATAAGATAGCTATAGTACTTTAAATAATAAAATATAATACTGTACCCAACCTCTTCCTCCCCAAGTTTGTGAGTAATGTTCATTCTTTTAAATTTGAAATAGTGCACTAGTGATAATGAGGTTAATGCATTGGATTCTTTTTTTTTAACAAAAATAAAAGACTCATGAAAACCTGCATAAAATATTTATGGAAATGGAGTGTTTGAAGACAAGCCAAAATTTAAGCCTATTTGCATGAATTCCTATCACTGTTTCAGTTTGCTTGCTGAAAATATTGCAAGTCATAACACTGGAATAAAATGACTCTGGGTCCAAAAGGCTACAACACCCAAAGCTTGGTGCTTTCCTTTATGTCACTGTGTTTTTTATGTCCTAATGTATAAGGAGGTACTGTTGAAAAGGTGGTTTGTCTGAGGAAAAAGCATTTATTGATAGGGGAATGTTTCAGTCTCCATTTTTATTCTAAGTATTGGGAGCTTGCCAAGTGACCAGGCTTATGGAAACACTAGAGGCCTGGTGCATGAAATTCATGCACTCATGGAGGTGCCCCTCAGCCTGTCCTGCACCCTCTAGCAGTCCAGGAGCCGTGGGGGATGTCTGACTGCCGGCTTAGGCCCGCTCTCTGGGGAGCAGGCCTAAGCCGGCAGGTGGACATCCTTAGTGCTGCCACGGAGGCGGGAGAGTCTCCAGCCACCACCACTGCGCTCGCCAGCTGTGAGCCTGGCTTCTGGCTGAGCGGCGCTCCCCCTGTGGGAGCACACTGACCACCAGGGGGCAGCTCCTGCGTTGAGTGTTTGCCCACTGGTGGTCAGTGCACATCATAGCGACCGGTTGTTCTGTCATTCAGTCGATTTGCATATTAGCCTTTGATTATATAGGATAGGCCAGTGTCTAGGATAACTAGTATATTCTAGGTGGGAAAACAGTACTGATATTCTCCAGGTGTGTTTAGTCATATAGGGAAGCCTCACAAGACAGGGGGTACATTTTATTTGGCTGAAATATCCCATCACAGCTAATCTTTTAAATTCTGGATATTGTCACACATGATCAGTGAAGAAAATTGAAAAAAAATACTGTACAAAGAAAGTAATTTGATTCTCACTTGAAAATTTGCTTTTCAAGAATATTCAAATATTGTAATCCCTCACTAAAAGCTTAAAAAAATTGTGATACTTTAATTTTGACATTTTTGGCTAAGAAGAAACGTGTTCATCCCTGTTGAGTCTATGACTTGAAATAATATACAACGCAAGTATATTTACTACCAAATATCCGGAAACAGTGAGGCCTTTTGGATACCAGCCTTCTCCTGCATCTCAGCAGATTGCACTCGAACATAATTGTATCTCTGTTTCATTCAGCCTTTTATCACCATTTTGTCAGCTAATATTGACCTGTAATTTAATCTTATTCACAAATCCTCTTGAATCACATCTCTGATCTACCCGCTTAGACTCACCTTCCCCTTCTCTTCATTTTTCCTGTGTTCGTCACGAGAACCCCAGGAATTTTGGGCCCCTGCTTTTTCCTCTGCAATGAAGCCAAGACAAGTTTTCTTTTCTTTGAGCCAAGACCTTCTCAAACAGAAACCATCCTTTGCCTTTAATCCTGCTGTCCTCGGGCCCATTTCTTTCCTCTCCCCAGAGTCTCGATTCATCCACCCTTGACTGCACAATGTCTTCCTTGTGCAAATAAAGCATTAGAGGGGATTTGGACTGGGGGCTGAAGTACGCAAGGCTACAGGGTTTCTAGGATGCCTGTGATAAAACTAACAGAATAACCCCTTCCCTTCTGTTCATGAAAGCAGCCTTCTTGTCTTTGGGCTTAGAACACCTTAACAGAGCAGCATACACACCTTCTTGGGCTTCTTCCAAGAAGGTTATACACGAGGGAAGTGTATTTTTGTCTCTAGATAGGCATGTTAGTAAGATGAAAGTAAAAAGATGTTAAATACTGTGTTTTAGATTTGGCAGCTGGTTAGCAGAGATTTCCAGATCATTGCTATGTTCTTTCTAGATTTTATAAGATCAAGTTGAAGGCTTTTTGATAAGCAAGAATGTTCTTTGTCTAAAGACAACAAAAAGAGAGAAGGAGAGAGAGTGGTGCGCACACAAGGTTAGCAATGGCTGAGGATTCTAAGCCTCCTTCTTGAAACTGTTGTGAATGAGTGTGAGTTTGCAAAATTCAAAAGCAGAGAGGACCACCATTCCACACTAACGACAAAGAGCAAGCTAGTAAACACAAAAGCCAATTCATTCTGTGGGTAGGTGGCTATTAGAATAACGTAAATTATTTTCTCTCTAAAGAACTATGATACCATAAGATGATAATATTATGTAGTGTTAGTCCTGGAAGTCTCTAAACTCCTTTCTTTCCTTCCTTCTTGTTTATCCCATGATTTTTCTGCTACTAAGATGCTGTTCTGTCAGGGAACAGGAGGTTGGCCCTCAGTTTTGAAGAATACAGATGAATACTCCCTGAGAAGAAGTAAAAATAACTAACTGGCCTAGAACCTACAGTCCCCATAAGAGGAATTTTCTAGAAGACACTGTCATAGAATTAGCTGGGCCTAGTTTGCCTTTGGTCGCATTCTCATCCTCTGTCTGGAATTTTGATCCCTGGGAGGGCTGAGTGGCCATGGATCACCTATATTTAAGGGACGCCCATTTACTAATGCCAGTTGATTTTTATTCAGAAAATACACAAATACCCTCTGTCCTCTTCTTCCCATTTGCTAATATGTTAAAATCTGTTTACATCTGCTTTAGTGATTGGCAATTTTAAAACTCCCTTATTTAAAAGGAAGACTTTCTATACAGAAACTAGGTGATTTGCATAGAAAGAAGTATATGTCTCTTTGTTTTTCATCATAACAGGACTTTCACCATCTTTGTACCTCTCTTCCTCTGAGAATAGTGGCCAATAATTGCCAAAGTTTGTCTTAAGTTTTATCAGAAAGGTAAAGTGTATATGTTTGATTTTCAAGGTGTAGGAAAGGTGATTTTGCTCCATGAATAAATTTAAAAACAAAATAATATTTGCTTTGGGTGATTTATAAATAAATATAAGGCAACCATTGGTACCAAGTGCAAACCTTCTCTTTGATTGCTAGTTAAATTCGTCCAGATTTAAACATGTAAACTTCTTGATTTATATGGAGTAGGACATCTGTATTTGGTTTATTAAAACCTGCTGATGTCTCCAGAACTACATTTGTTCGTATACAGGCCTCTGGGTAGCTGTAGCTAAAAAGCAGAGATGTATAGTTTTTGCTTGTCTTATTACCTGACTTCCAGCCCGGTACAGGTGTGCAGGAATAAATTAACATGAGCTACCTCTGATGAGCCACTGCATAGATTAACAACAGAGGTGAAGATGCGAAAACATGCTACCTGCCTCCTGTTATCACCTTCTCAGCAGCAACATCCATTTTTCTCCCATCATTCTCTATGCTTGGAAACTTACAGAGAACTTTTCT